TTTTTTTTTTTTAAAATGTCCCCAGTGGCAGGGGATGTCACACATGAAACACGTTTTGCCTAACTGCAGGCTGTCTATCAGAACAGCAAATGTAACTTGTCTTTGATCACAACGGAACTCCCTGAATGTATCTGGTGAGTTCCCCAACTGTCTTAGAAAAGTTTAAGAGTTTATGTTACGACAGAATCCACAGAGATTATTGCAGAGAGGTCAGCCTCAGCCTCATACCACTGACATTGTCCCTCCACCGTGCTGCACCCAATTCTCACCTCTTCTATGGGCAGGTCCTGGAGCTGCGGTAACGAGCAGGAGAGAATGCCAATTAAGAATGGGGTCGGAGAGCACACAATATCAATCATAGAAGTTGGCAGGACTGGGATGTAGGTGTGTTGCCAAGTGAAGGGATAAAGCGTTGCAACTGCGGCATGGCCACATTTAGAGAGAGTGCTAGAAAGGTGAAAGAAGCACAGAGTGGGTTGTCAACATCTCGTTCCGTTCTCAGCTACAGACACAGGTTAGAAATGCTCGGGGAAAATGTCATTCACATATGTTGTTTGTGCATCAGCAGAAGCCCCCATGCATCCACTTTTAACATCAGTTATGGGGAGCCTAAATGGCATCACCCCAGGCTAAAGAGGTACCGGAAACATTCCCTTATCTCCTCGTGGGTAAATAGCATGCTCCAAATTCTAAGCATGCACGTGTTGTGTGGGAAGTCTGCAAAAAGCTTTTAAATGTAACTATTTACAAAAAGTTAGAGAAGGTTGCACACAAAACAGGCCCAAAGTGGAAGAAAAAAAAAAAAAATAGCGTCCCTCAAAAAGAACCAGTCACTCAGACTCATTTTTTACCTCAAGTTGTCAGCAACAAAGATCACCCTCCTTTCCAGCAGGAGAGAGGCAAAGACCCGGATGGTGTGTGAGACGCTGAGGCACCTGAAGAGGCATTCGAAGTCAACGTGCTCGAGCCGGGAGTCCAGCGGGCGGCAGAGCTCCACCACCTGAGGGGAGCAGAGGAGATAATGGTGGGTCAGGCCCTCTCGGGGAACCCCATGGGGGGACACCCAAGCAGCTCCTCCTCAAAAAGCAGTCTATCTCTCTTCTTACATTAGGACATCACCTTCAGACCAACTATTTAAGGCAGCACTCCTCTACAGTGCAGTTTGCCAAGTGCCGCTCTGCCCCGGGGACAGCAGAGGAAGGCTGGCCCTGACCGCCATTACCTCATCTCCCGCTCCCGGCAGGAAGCTCCTCACAGCGATGGTGCGTCCAGGAGCAGGGAATGGCGCCTCCATTACACTGCGCATAAACGGGTGTACGAGGGCCGGGGACATCTCTCGCCTCTTCTCCACCTCATCTAAAATCTGCAAGAAAATACAATGGATGCTGTTTCAAGGCCTGCTGGTGAGCCAGAGGAGACACGATCTCTAATGGACTCACAGCCCCATCCCTCCCTCGAGACCCCTGTGAAAGCACCTCTCAAACGTCTGAACAATCAAATGGGAACAGACACCTGTGGGTACAACTCTCCATTCCCAAACCCAGTCTTCTGCTACTGCAAGGAATGTCTTGTATATAGTAACCAAATTCTCACAACTAGAGGAGTAACAGCCTATCCTCCTCCCCGAGAAGTCTTTCTGAAACACTGTTCTAGAAACTCTGTGCTCCAACAATTAGAAAGCAGCTTTCATCAAAAGCCTGATCTTGTGTTCTTTGGCAAGAGCTGCCCTTTACCTGCAGGAGCTTTCCCCAGTCTTTACCTCTTTATCTACTCCTCATGGTGCTCAGAGAAACAAGCTGAGATCTTCTCCCCCACCCCACCCTTAAACTGATTTTCCATTTCCAAGTAATGGAAGAAGAGGGTGAAGGAGCACCATCAGTAATAACAGGTATTAGAAGCCGCTTCCTGACAATCATTTGCTGAAGGAATAGTTGCCTTCATAGGTCTAGACCGCACAGAAGCATCCAGCTGCTTTGTGGAGCTTGCAGGTTGTCAGGGGCTCAAATCTGATATAAAGTTCGAGCTCTCCCCACTTCACCTTGGAGAAGAGGTTGAAGCAGCCCAGGCGGCTAACGATGCAGTACACCTCAGGAAGGCGCTTCCCCTTCCCCTCCGGCTGAAAGGCAATAAAACAGTTATGCTGAGAACAGGGATGCAGTAAAGAACCTGGCACCTACCCTGCAGCTGACTGGCAGAATTCCTGCCGCTGTAGTTCCCTCTACAATTTTGACTTAAAACATTCCCGAGGAATGACCAGTTCCAGGAGCTACCTTTCCCACCCAGAGCCCATTTCACTGCATTGCTGGGCATCACCACACTCCTTCCCTCCTGCACTCAAAGGGCTGGTGACCCCAGCAGCACAGGCACTGCTTAACCCACATGGGAAATTACTGCTGATTCACGTCCCACGCTTGTCTGTCCATTATCAACACATTCTTTACACTCCACCCAACACACAGATGCTTACCAGGAGCTTCTTGCAGTACCCAAACCATCGGCTGCCATCCTCACCCGTCAACACAAAAGAAAACGTTTCGCTGGGGAACGAAAGTACAGTCAGGGTTAAATTCACCATCCAGTTCAGAGAAGAGACTGACAAACAAAGCATACAAACTACAAGCCATTCTCCTTCTGGTCATACTGAAGACCCGCTGCTGTGGTCAGCAAGCTACTTCAGGCTCTGTTCAGTGTAAAAACCTGCAGCCCGTGGACTCTCATTGAGCTACAACAGCTCTCTTCCTTCTCAGCTGCTTCTCCATTCTGCTAAGGAGCCCCAGAAGCACTTCCCAGCCCTGGGATCTGGCCTTGAACAGACAATACAAACTTCCTTCTTATAGGACAGATGGTGCTCAGGGAGAAGCAGCACCTCTGAGTCCACCTCCATATCTCATTTTCCCCCACCACAGAGGCGAGGGACTCAGCCTTTCCCCTTTTCCCTCACTCTGGCTACAGTTCCTCTGGTCCAGGAAACTGGCTCATACCTAAGCTTTCAGCATCGCCTGTTTCTGGCATGAACATTCAAAAACAAGTCTTTACCTTTTAAGGTGTGATGTAGGGAACCAGTCTTTGGGATCTGGAAAGCAAAACTTGGGAATGACCTTTAGCCTCTCTTCAGTATCCTTTGACTGTCTGAAGGGATGTTCAGGCTGGAGGGGTGACACATGCATTTGAAGTCACTGAGGTGTGATGCACAGCTGCAGCATTTAAAACAACGGGAGACAGTATCTTCCCGACACTTCCAAATGCTGAACCATCAGATAGCTAATGCACAAACACAGGAGAACATAATCTGACTATAACAGATTCCCAATTCCCAGTTACCTCTTGCATCTTTCCTGGTGATTGGACCTTTGTAAAACCCCCCAGCTGGAATTGCTAGGAACTGAGTAAGGATTTACAATCATGGCCAAGTTTATTGGGGAATGAAGCTAGAACTGACCCCAAGTGATGGTTGTGTCAGCTCGCCTTAGTTCTGTTCCTAGGAGATGTGAAGGTGCTAAGAGGAGACTATAGGACAACTTCCCATGCTCAAAACTGCCCAGAAGGGGCAAAAGGAAGGTTTTCATAGAATGGTTAGAGTTCAAATAAGAGAGATCACGTAAGTAGGAAAAGTCCCTGAGAAGAGGAAAGTTTATTGCATGAAGCTGACTTCAGACACTCTTCTCTCAGTCAGCACATCTTGGCTATTCCAGTGCCCCAAGCTGTGACAGCATGAAGGAGCTGTTAGGAAAACAGTACAACATTTTTACAGAGTAACAGCTGTACAAAAGCTTTGATGTCCTTGGGCATGCAGCCCAAAGAAGAGGGTGAGAAGCAGATTACTTGGAAGCAAGGCTATTTTTAGAAGGGAGACAAATCTGTAATCAGAACACCTCAATAATTACTGGGCAATGTTTCTTGCAAAATCCCAACACGATAGACTGTCCAGTATAGTCATTCACCAAAACACTCTAATGTGAGCAGAGGATAAACACTGGAAAATAATTCGTTTTGTTAATGTATTTATAAAGGCCAGTGAAGGGCCCCATGGTACAGTTGGGTCTGATTGTCGCCCTGGGCAGCAGGAAAAGAACAACACTCTGCTGTTCCCAAAAGCTGTTCCCAAAAGACTGAGAGGCTGGACCAGGGAGAAGCCAAATCTGTTTACATTCCTTTCTTCCTCCTAACACCCTGAAGTTTGCACTTTTAGCAAGTATTATTTATGTATATTCAGTTTTACCCACCAAGTTAAGACTTGCACTCTCTCTGGCTGCAGTCCCTTATTCATTTTGTGAATCCAAAACATTTACACATTTAAGACACCAGAGCTATTTGCAAACAAATCCCTTACGCAGGTGGACACTGTGGCTCCTGCTGGAGTTCCACATAACCTCCCTTAAACGAATGTGACCTCTCCTTCTCTATTTGGATGACATGCAGATTCCTTAATAATCTCTGGCTTAGTCCTGATGGCACAGATAGAATTACTGTTTTTTACTGGAAGGCAGCAAGTACAAGCCTAGACAGTGACAACTGAATATTCATTTCAATCTGGAACCACAGAAACAGGATCAAGGCTCCATCCTCTCAGCTTTACAGAAACTACTGTGTACACAGAGTCACAGTTGGGAGCCACACACTGGCCTTGCCATCCATTTGGGCTGAACAGAGAGAGAGAAGGCTTATTTCAAATGGCTTGTTCTAGCTACAGTACTTTAAATTCCACATTTCTCCTCTGCTTTTGGGGGGCTAGTACACATGGCTTTGCCCATATTTTTTTTTCCCCAGAAAAGCATAAATAAGCCTAAAAGCCCTGCGATTCTAGTTCCTGTGCACCATTAGTCAAATTGCTTCACTCCTTGTCTATAAATCACAGACTACCAGGATGAGGTGGTGCCAGCTTTGGGAACAGATCACTGCACTCCCTCTCCCGCCTCAGCACCGCACCACAAGACAAGATGGATTTATGGTATTTCCAGGCAATTAAAGTCACAGTAGGAGCCTTCTTAGTTCCAAAAAAAGATAATAAACTCATTATCGAGAAAGAGATTCAACAGCTGCCCAACACTATACATTAGGTCTGTAACAGAGCAAGGTGCTTCATATTCCAAGCCTGTATCCTGTAGCAGCACAGAGTCTGAGAGGGAAATTAACAGCTACTGAGTGTGGTTTTGGGGCAGGTTTCCATGCAGCTCCTACCTTGCTGGGAAACTGTTGTATGATCTGTGGTGTGTACGCTGTCTCAGATGCCTTCTTGTGCAGCGACACCACCACAAACAGCTCAAAGAGCCGCTGCTCCTGAAGCTCTATCAGATCCCTCTCCAGAGTCTGGTAGTGTGGGTTCCTCTTGGTGGCTGACTGCGCCTGCAACGGGCACCTGTGCCGACCTGAGGAAAGGAACAAATCCAAAACCACCCGTGGCTACCACTGCCCTGCACCTACAGGTCACAGAAGAGGACCTGTCACACCGTTAGAAGGGGAAACAAGAAGGGTGCATTTGCCTAACATCACTGCTGCGCTCTACAGGACTTGGGCTCCTGCCTTGGCTCCTCAAGCACTGAGCTGTTCCAGGGAGGGGAAGCTGCTCAGCAAATCCCTTGGACCAATCTCCTGCTGTCCTGACATTCCTTCCACACATCTGTGGTGGTGCAGCCCACATCTCCTTAGGCCACTCAGTGCTTGGTGTGATTTCACCTCACCTGGGCCATGTAATAACCCAACACAGAACAGGAAAGAATGCAAAGGGCAACAGACCAGAACATTACAGTAGCCCCTTAACGCAGTTGGTTCCCATGTCCCCTCTCGCTTGGAAACAGTCAATAATAGATCACCCCCTGACAGCACCTGGATGGTGGCCCAAAGAGGGGGGTGATACCAGAACCTCAAGATCTAGCAAGTTCTGGGCTTGCACGACTGGTGGAAAGCACCAGAATATCCTATTGTCCGAGTTGGGCCAGACTGGAAAAGTACCTGAAAGTCAATTATCTCAGACTCTATAAATGGTGACCCTAATGAGACCCTTAGAGCTCTCCTGGATTGCAGCAGGCTGTGACCAGCATCTTGCCTGAGCTGGGATGCTTGGGCAAACACCTTGAGGATTAAAGGACCAGGACAAGTCTCATTTATCCCCACTGAGGAATGCCCATGCATCGTGAGTATTTATTCTTAACTCCAGAAGAGGGAAAGTTTAACTACAGGCCAGGCCCTCTTCCATCCAGTTCTCTATAGTCTATGTTCCTGATACACACATTGGCTTTTACCACTGTGTATGTTCACATTCCCAGCAGTGAGAGGAAGCCCAGCTCCACCAGTTTGGTAATTGCCAGGCTGATGCTCTGTAAAGCATCACGGGCATTCATGAGAGGCAGAGCCAGTTTCCCAGCCAGGAGACCTGCAGGCTGGGACGTCCTGACAGGCACCAGAGAGTCACAAGCACAGGCACAGCACTCTGACGTAAGAAATTCCTGTGGCCCAGGCACCATGACACATTCTGGACACTTTGGAAACAACTCTTAAATCAGGCAGTGACTCAGTCACTGTATTTCTGCAGAGACTCTTCACTCTCCATTATTCTCCTTAACATAAAGAAGTGGAACTTCACTATTTGCTCCACGTTATGGCCTTCTGTACGTTTCCCCCAAGTAAATGAAACGTCTCAAACAATTTGGTTGGTTCTTTTCACTAGATGTTTGCTTAGAGACATGACAAAGTCTCTCACCAGGGCTGCCAGCCAACCATTGCCATCTCACATCCAAACCTTACCAGCAGAGAGACAATGACCTCTTTGGTTCTTCCCCCACCAGCTAAAAGCAAGTGGGTATTTCAAGCCTGTTGTTTGGGTCTATGATCAAACTCAGGGCTGTGGAACCAGACAAATAACCAAGTGATTTCTGCCCAGGGAGAGGGTATCTCACACCATTATAGGTATAAAACAGAATCCAGGGAAGGAAGTAGGGGGTTAGCAGTGAAGGTTAAAACAGAATCCAGGGAAGGAAGTAGGGGGAAAATAACCTCAAGTGTTAGCAGCGAAAGCGATTCAAGGACAATCTCCTGGCAAGATGCATTTTAGTTAACTGTGACTCTACCAACCCAAAATGAATCATCTCCTGGCAAGATGCATTTTAGTTAACTGGGACTACCAACCCAAAATGAATGTACTTCTAGCAACTGGCAGATTAATGGCATTAAACCTCAAGCGTTCAGGAGAAGCAGCAGAAACAGATTTGTCACAACAACAGCTCCCAGCCTTGGCCATGCTGCCTCTTCGATGTGCCCTGTCTTGGCAGAAGCCACAACTAGTCAGTGTGCTTATCCCATCAGAGCCTTAGCCAAATGTGCAGAGGGGACAGGACCAACCCCTGTGAGTCACTCACTTTTTGGCTGATTTTCCGTATCGCTTTCATTCCCACTGGTTTCACCTGAAACACACATAGTTTTCACTTATTAGCCATGCAAAAGGAAGATGGGCAACACCCAAAGTTGGGAAAGAGAGAGAACTTTAGACTCATCAGACCAACACCACCCAGGGCTGCCCACCTCTCCTGCTCGAAGAGCAGCCGGTACCGGCAAATGTGCTACAATAGGAAATTTCAAAAAGCAGAGCTGGTATCAAGTCACTGTTTCCAGTAAAACCACCTGTAGGTCAGCTGAACAGAGGCAAAGAGCAGAAACCAGGTAGCTATTTGATGCTGCTATAAAAAATTAACAGAGTTGCTGAACAGAATATACTATAAAGAAAGACTATACCATGGCTACAAAATCAGAAGAACACAAGAATATCACTTCAGAGGCACTAAAGCAATGACTGGAGCGGTCAGAGGTAGTTCTCATGCCAAATGGTTTTGTGGGGAATTTGGGGGTTTGTTCTGCTTTTTTGAAAAAACACTCTTAACCAGTAGCCCAGCTCTTCAGAAATCACAGTGGAATCTTCCATTTGTGACTGTGTTAAACTTGGGTTAATCAAGTGTTCCCAGTCCAGTGTTGCTGAAAGCTCAACAGCTCCAGCTGTGAGACACAGGACTCAGCACTGTTGCACGAGCTGCAGGAGGTGGTGGTGTCTCTGCTGCCCAAGATACCCCAGGGCGTACAGAAATTGAGCTGCTCGAGAGGTTTATAGCCAAGAGAAAGCTGCTGGAGACCTCTGTACCTTTCACTGGAGGTGCTTCTCTCCCAGCAGGATTAAGCAACTTCATCCTCTTCTTTCCACGCTTAGAATCAAAGATCTCCTGTATTTTTAGTACCAGCTGAAATCCAAAGCAGAAGCAGAGGTTAATGTGGTGGTGCAGAAAAGAGTCGGGGTGCCAACGGGACCGCAGCCCAGCAGCTATCATCTAACACCACAACATGGGAAAGGCTGCTCCAGTCCTGCCAACGACACTGGCTCACAGGCTGCTTGTTGAGTGCTTTTAGCACTGGATAATGAATGAGCCCAGAATTTCTGCTACAAGAGAGATTACTGTTAGCACGACTCAAAGCTGACACTGAACTGCACCAGCATTCTGGAAGTTATCATACTTTGCTACCAAACAGATGGCAGAAGCAGCAAAGTGGCTGGCATCAGATCTCCATTTCTTGTTGCAGAAATGCCTTATTAACCCTCCACCACAAAGGACCCTGAACTCCATATGCTCTCAAGCTTCCCAGTTCTTTCCAAGCCCAGAAAAAGCAGAGCGCTCTTAGTATAGCTTGGGGTTTGGGTTTTGGTTTGGTTTAAGTTTTGTGCTGCAGTTGGATGTCAGACAGCTGGAAAGTATAGCTTGGGGTTTGGGTTTTGGTTTGGCTTCTTTTAAGTTTTCTGCTGCAGTTGGATGTCAGACAGCTGGACCAGGTTCTCCAAAGCACCATGTCGGCACAGACCAAAGCTGCTCTAAGCACAGTCCTTGTCCCAGAGTAGTTTTGCTAAAATGAAGGACTATGTAGTTTAATTTTGCACCAGTGAAGACAGACAGAATTGTGGGTTTATGCTGCAGGGACACCACAGACCTGTCCCACAGGAAAAAAACCATAGCCCACTGCAGACGAAGCTACAGACATGAAAGAAGGGCCAGCATTTAGACACTCCAACTCAACGCTGTTAACCTTCCTTCCACTGCTCACAACGGCCTTAAAGCCAAAATCCCAAAGCTTTCTGTCCCTCCTTCACAGCCCTCTGGACTCCCCCAGCTGCCAGGGTACAACACTGCAGGACCGCTGCACGTCAAAGGCAGCCATCGCTTCACTGTGGAGAAGGATTCGTGCTGAATTCAGTGAGCAGGTCAAGTTCATTCTTGTCTCAAGTTCAGAATTCATTAGGTGCTCCCACTGAGCGTAGGAGGGTGGGGCCTAACGATTTGTCACCACAAATACTACATAAAAAGGAAGATAATTCAGCAAGAAAACCTGTTTTTCAGCTCAAGCCTTTATCCCCAGCTCAGCAAACTAGGCTTAGGCTTTTCTCCTTCTCAGATCTATTTCTCCCCGTTCTCTGCATCAGCTGGTCCTCCTGGCATGGTGAGGCTGCAAGGAAGAAAACAGCCCAGAGCTGCTTCTCCAGCAAGATCTGCCTTCTTGCCTCTGTACCATCCAGCCTCACCTAGAGAATTTCCATTTCTGTTCTGATTTTTATGCATTTGAGTCACCAGTGAAAGATACTGGGTGTGTTTAGGGCAGCTATGTGTTTCTTAAGCAATAAGTAAGTTCTTTCTCTTTAGACTCCAATCCCTTTCTCAATCTCTCAGGCAATCTTGGCTGAATTCCTTGTGAGCAAAAAAAGTGTGCTCCTTGCATATAAATTGTTACCAGATTTTTGGAATCGGTTTTTGCTTTTGGAGAATGTTTTCTTTTCCCTGTCCAAATGAAAGCTATTCTCCATCACAGCATTTTTACAATCTTGCCATCTCCTTCTGGATTTTCCAGGCCTACAGTTTGTTTAAAAACACATAGAGAAGTTGCTTGTTTCTCTAAAGTACTTAACGTTTTCAAAGTATTTTGCAGCTGTCCAACTCTACCTCACAGTCTTGTGCAATTTGAGCAAATACACCCAAGTTTCACAAGAAACAACGATCCGCAGAAGACAAATGATTTTACCATGGCAAAAGTAAGTTGTTGCCACTACCACAACTGGAATTTGAGTCCTATGCACAAAATGCTGCTACAGTGGTAGGTACAGTCCTAGAGCTCATGCTGCATGTTTATCACTGAGGGACCTGAGCTGGTCACCAACACCAGTATCTAGAAAGATTCCCAACACATCAAATGAGAATTACAATGGAGTCCTCCAATGTGAAAGTGGATTGAAAGCCTTTCCCACTACTCTGGCCTGGAAAGAGTATCTGCCTTTGCACACAGGCAGGAGGGAGCGGCCAGAGGCACCAGAGGGGAGAACTTTATGAAATGCAAATATCCCTAAAAGCTGCTCTTCACCTTCAGGCTATGAAACAGCTGCAAGGGAATGTTCCTGATGGCAAGCCAAGAACTCCCATCTAAGAACTCAGTGCCTGCAGCAAGAACATATGGGTCAGTCTGAGAAGTCATGAGGAGCAAGGGACACACACACACAATTCTAGAGGGCTGGCCCTTTAGCTCACAGGGAGCTTCCTTGCATTCCTGTACCACATTTGGCACAAAATTAGCATCATTACACTTCATGGAAGCATTGGGAACAAGGCTTCAATGGCAAAGCACGAGGAAGAGCTAGTATTCACACACAGCACTGATCTCCAGGTCAACACCTGGTGTTGTGTTTGCAGAGTCTTGGCCAACAACATCACCCCTGTCCCAGCCAGAACTGGCACTCTGGTTTTTGATCCCCAAACGCCTGCCCTGCTGCTTGGGAGGGAAATGGTTAAGAGCAGGGTGCCTTGTCCACACATACAGCAGCACCCACCAGCATTCACCTGCCAGACACACAGCTCCATCACCACGTACAAAGCACTTAGAAGGTGCTAGACAAAGCAACAAGAGTTTGAAATGCCATGCAAGAAGTAGTGTTTCACGCTTAAATCTCACCCAGGGCAAGTTCTTTCTCTTGCTAGCAGCCTCCACTGCTCGGAACAGCTTCCACTCAGTCAGTGTGACAGGCAGGGTTGTATCCTTCACCACTTTCCCTTGGAAACTTGTCTGGGAGGGCTTTAGCTCAAGACTCTTGCGACTGAGGAAGGGAGGTTTTGGGGGAGGCTACAAAACAGCATCAGAAGAGATGGTTAAGCATGGGATTAAGTTTTCATCCAAGCTCAGACTCAAAGAAGCCACATTACAAATGACAAACTCTCTGCAGCTTCCTGCTCTGCCAAGCTCTCCATCCCACCCTGCACACTCAAACTTCTCATCAACTCTCTCTTGTTCCTATTCTTTTGCTCCTTGGCAACTTCATCAACTGCCACTGTTGGTTCATTATCATTTACACCAATAACAAACAATAAAAAAATAAGGAAAGCCAATGACATAGCAGTAAGGAATGTGCAAATTCATCAACTGCCACTGTTGGTTCATTATCATTTACACCAATAACAAACAATAAAAAAATAAGGAAAGCCAATGACATAGCAGTAAGGAATGTGCAGGGGGGAGTACAAAGTAGGGCCCTTGTAAGGATGACTCTCTGTGACAAATTATATGACACATGACAATTTAATCCCCTCACCCTACCTTGGGAGCTCTACTGTTGCTCCGAGGGGGTGGGAGCTTCCAGACAGATGGGACCTTCCACAAGGGTAAGGGCAGCGCTCTGATATCTTCATAGTGGTTCAACAATAAAAAAATAAGGAAAGCCAATGACACAGCAGTAGGGAATGTGGGGCCGGGGGGGAGTACAAAGTAGGGCCCTTGTAAGGATGACTCTCTGTGACAAATTATATGACACATGACAATTTAATCCCCTCACCCTACCTTGGGAGCTCTACTGTTGCTCCGAGGGGGTGGGAGCTTCCAGACAGATGGGACCTTCCACAAGGGTAAGGGCAGCGCTCTGATATCTTCATAGTGGTTCTCTTTTGCAGGACCTGGAAAAGCATTGGATAGGGGATTTATGAGAGGAGGTAAAGTCCTGCATTCTTGGAGGGGATGTAAGCAGGGAGGGCGTGCAGTTGTCTGCCAAACCTTAAGAGGGTCTGAAGGAGACCTGTTAAGATGGATTAGGTTCCCACCACTCAAAGATCCTTCCAACCCACTACCATCAACTTGGCAAGCTGTACACAGCAAAATAAAACACTTCTACCACTGCAAAAACAAACAAACCATTCTTGGAGGGGATGTAAGCAGGGAGGGCGTGCAGTTGTCTGCCAAACCTTAAGAGGGTCTGAAGGAGACCTGTTAAGATGGATTAGGTTCCCACCACTCAAAGATCCTTCCAACCCACTACCATCAACTTGGCAAGCTGTACACAGCTGTGCAAAACACTTCTACCACTGCAAAAACAAACAAACAAAAAAAAGTAGCTCTATTGCAAAGCAGGTGATTTTGCCAGTGTTCACACTGATCTCTGTGCAGCACTCGAGCAAAGCATTTGAAGAGCTAACAAAGAAATCAGCTTAGCACAGGCCAATTCTAGCAACCTTCTATGACATCTGAAATCAAGCTGTTCACATCCAAAGAGTCCCAGATGGGGAAGATCTTAAAATTCATAGAGCTGGAAAGGGCCTCAATACATTCTCATCTTCATGCATCCCTCCCCAGCAAATTTTCTACCCTTAAATACAGTGAGTGCATCCCCCAGAAGCACAGGCACATACAGATAATGTCCTCGTAGATGTTGTCTTCTGACTGTGTGCAGACAAGCCTGGATCCCGCAGTGCCATTTGCCTCTTCTCGAAGTCTGGGGGAGTTGGTAGTTCCCATCCGGTTGCGGAAGCCCTGGATGTCCTCAAACTCAAAAGATTTCCTAGAGGAAAACCAGTGTAACTTCTTCTAAAGGGACCTGAATGTACCAGTGAGTTGCTGTCTCCAGTCCACACAGAGTGTGTCTCGAAGTCTGGGGGAGTTGGTAGTTCCCATCCGGTTGCGGAAGCCCTGGATGTCCTCAAACTCAAAAGATTTCCTAGAGGAAAACCAGTGTAACTTCTTCTAAAGGGACCTGCATGTACCAGCGAGTTGCTGTCCTCCTTGGGGCCATCGAGCACATGGATGCTCCGCTCTGGACCCTCTGATTCCCAAGTGTTGGGGTTTAACCCCTGCCAGCCCCACACAGCCACTTGCTCGCCCAGTGGGATGGGAGAAAGATTCAGAAGGGTAAAAGCAAGAAAACATGTGGGTCAAGAAAAAGCCAGTTTAATAGGTAAAGCAAAAGCTGTGCGTGTAAGCAAAGCCAAATAAGGGATTCATTCATTATTTCCCCTCGGCAGGCAGGTGTCCAGCCTTCTCCAGGAAAGCAGGGCCCCACCACATAACAGTGACTTGGGAAGACAAACACTAACTCCAAATGTCCCCCCTTATCTCCTTCTTCCCCCAATTTTTACTGCTGAGCATGACATCATCTGGTCTGGAATATCCCTCTGCTCAGTGGGGGTTAGCTGTCCCGTGTGTCCCCTCCCAGCCTCTTGCCCACCCCCAGTCCATCACTGGTGGGATGATGTGAGGAGCAGAAAAGGCCTTGAGGCTGTGTAAGCTCTGCTCAGCAACAACTAAAACTCTGGTGTGTTATCAATACTGTTTTCATCACGAATCTAAAACATAGCACCACACAAGGTACTATAAAAAAAAAAATTAACGCTATCCCAGCCAAAACCAGCACACCAAACGAATCCTACTCACTTACTCTGGGAGATTTTTAAATTAAAAATGAAGTTGGAGGCTCTGTGGCCAAGCACACTCCAGGTGTGTATGGCAAGTCCCATCCTGTCACAGAGGCAAGAACCCAAAACATGTTCTGCAGACTAAGTACTTGCAGCAGCACTCAGAGTTAGGGCAGCAGCACTCAGAGTTAGGGCACTGCTTTCCACTGGATCTCTCCTCCTAAGGGTGTCACCGCATTTGCGAGTTTGCATTTTCATACACTTGGCCTCCATTTCAAAATTATGGCACAGAGGTCACAAAGGAGCTGGCAGGGATTTAGCCCATCATCATAAAATTGGGTTTGTTGCTGCACGGTTTGCCACAGATGAAGAAGGTTTCAAGGAATCCTAGCCACATCTCCAGCTGTCACGCTCACAGAACACAGCAGAACTAGCACCAAGCCAGCTCAGAGATTTTTTTTACCCTGTAACAGGGACCTACATACAGGAAAGAGGGAAGAATAACCAAACCTACTGCAACAGGGGTACCACAGCTGACAGCCTCCAGCTTTAAGCAACAAGAGAATCTTTCACTCACAGGAAAGCTGGAACGTTCAGTAGCTGTACTGCCCCCAGAGAAAGTTATTCTGAAACCCAGAAATTGCAGCTGAGGACAAGCTCAGGGAAAGAAGCCGGCAGCACTCTCCCTGGGGCCAGCATATTATCACTCAGCTCTGTTTTAAGGTGTGGGACTGACACCTGTTTGGAGCTTTTAGCCTTCTTTGTAAGATTATCAGCAGCAAAAGCAGCATATACACAACACTGGAAAGAGGGTACTTTCATCCAGAAACATCCTCTCCCCGTCAACAAAGGCATCATCAGTACTAGCACCTCCACAAGGATATCATGGCAAGCAAGCTGTTTAAACCCATCTGTAAAGTGATTTAAGGAAATATGTTTCAGACACGAGAGAAGAATTGATGTACCTCTGGCTTCTCCCTCTGATCCTCCTGCTGGCTATTTTCTTCTCAGAATTGTTGGAGGATGACACCAAGTCTCCTCCATGCTGCTTTTGCAGGGCAGCTTCCCTGCTAGCACTGGCATCGCTGTAGCTACCAGCACCCTTCTCTGCAAGATAGCAGAAAGTCCTGCGGGGCTTGGGTGGTGGGACAGCAGCCTGCTCCTCCTCTTGCCCCTCAGCCTCAGAATAAATCTTTTTCAAGCTCCTCTCTGCCCTGCAGAGAGGCTCCACTCCTTTAAGTTCTCTTTCCCTGGAGCCACACCTCCCTTGCTTCCTCTGAAGGTCCAAGGGACATGGTGGGGCTTTGTCAGGCAGAAGGGGATCTACTCTCCTCCACAGAGCTTCTGAGGTATAGAAGTTCCCCGGGGGCAGTCTTGCCCCTGGGTGCAGGAAGTCTGCTTGCCTCTCTCCTTTCTCCTTGGCTTGGGAAGAGAGGCTGCACGCACAGGGCTTGAGGTCACCACAGTCATCAGTCTGCAAGCAGCTCCGTGCATCTTCCCTGAAGTCCAAACCCAGGCTCTTTGGATGTTTGGACTCAGTCTTTCTGCCCTTGTCTGTATGTTCTGGCTTTGTTCTGAGCAGAGCATCGCAGCTGGGATCATACTTTACTCCAAAGTCCTTCAGCTGCTGTTTCTCCTTGTTGGAGCACCCTCGTGTCCTCCCCTCCCACTGGGAGATCTTCTGTTTGATGTTGCGGCAGTGGCTCCGGGAGAGGGTCTGCACAGCAGAGCGGGAGAAGCCACTGTCCACTGGCCCTGTTGGGTGCATGGCAATTGCCAACGTGCTTAAAAACACCCCATCTCCAGCCTTGTCCAGGTCCACACGTGTCCTGCACGCATCAAGGTGGTATGAGACTCCAAAGACACAGTGTTGTCCCAGAGCCCCTGGGTGTCAGCTCTGCACAGCACAACCTGTGGACGAAAAGAAAAGAACCATCAGTACACTCCAGCCATAGACATCACCAGGAGCTCCCAGCTGCTCTCTGGCAGTTGCTGAAGAACATTCCTCCCTAAATCACATGTTCAAAACAGGCTTCCAGAGCACACTCCCCACGGGGGTCTCAGGGAGAGGCGGGCAGGAGAGGTTGGCTGGGTTGTGTGTCCTCTTGTTCTCGAACTTGTCCCGCTCTCTCCCTCCTCTGTTGGGGCTGCCGCCCTCTGCCCCAGCCCTCTCCTATAAATAGGCATCATTTTCAAAACATCCTGAGCCAGAGCAGAGCCATCCTTCCTCCATTCCTGTCTGCACAGTCCTGATTAGCAGACAGGAAAGAACTTTCCCCTCTCCTGTGCCACTGCAGCCACCCTGCAGCAGCTGTGCTCGGGGCGCTCCCCGAGGCACGGGCTCTGATGGGGACAGGCTCAGAGAGGGGGGATCAGCCTCCCAAATGCATCAGCCACCAGCTTCTCAGGGCTCTGACCAGCGGCCAAAACATCTGCAGGCAGTGTCCATGAGGGCAAACAACTGCATGTAGTTTCCTCAGCCAGCCTGCCATACTTCTGTGTCCCGATACAGAGCCATGGCCCAAGTCAGCCTAATGCTCCAACCTCTCTCACTGTCCGCATCCGTGCTTCCACGATGAGGCACAACCAGCAAGTGAGAAACACGTGGAGAAGCACCATCCCAGCCAGTACACAGGTCCTGGTGAGGCTCTGCAGGGCTGCCTCTGGTCCTGCTCTCTGATGAGTGCCCAGCATTCCAGCAGTTCACCCCCTGCTCAAGTGATTACCTGGCTCCAGCATCCAGAGCTACAGACCCATGTGCAGAAACAGGATCCACACTGAGTTTATTTCGTCTCCTGTAGCATAAATCTACCGAGTGATATGTCTTCTCCAGCCAGCGAAGCTCCATGCAGCAGCTGCAGAAGTAGCATTACTAGAAGGTGAAGCAATAAGCTTCACTCACCTGAGAAGCCGTACAGTTGGGAGCGCAACAGCAAAGGTCTTTCCAAGGCACGTCATTGATCTTTGGACCAGCAGATCCAACCAGGAACACACGGCTCCCAGCTCATCTTAAACACAGGGGGTAGAGCACAACCTTAAAGCGCACGACGTGCTCTCCTGCTCGGTGCTGCTCCGCCAGCCACAGCCCTGAACTGTACCCTCCCAAATAACCACCCAAGGAGGAGAATGCAGCTCTTCACCTGCCCAGGCTTGCAGGGCAGGTGGCTGCTATCAAGAACCAGGCATTTAATCTGAGCTGAGATGGATCTTTGGTGAAGAATGAGCAGACTGGGGTGGTCTGATCTGAACTGAGTAACCCTCAGTCACAGCCAGAGAAAGGCCAAACCACAGCTTAGGGACACAGGACTGGTAGAGACCACCAGAATCAGGCAGCCAGCACTTGTACTTCAGGGACCTTTCACAAACTAACCAGCCCCAACATGACTGATGCTCTCCTGACCTCTCCTTCCAAACTTCAGTGTCTCCACTATGATTCTCAGTATTTCCACAGAAGCCAAATTTATCATCCCTACTGCATTAGCACTTACAGCAGTTCAGTGTAGTCAAGAATACTGAATTATTTCATTGAAAACAGTAGTTTTGAGTGAAGAGAAATTAAATAATTTCTAGACAGAATATCCCACATTTCTCCCGACAGCCTCTCGGATGCACTCTGTTTGAAGACAGCTTCCATATCTTTACCCAAAGCAGAAGAAAGAGACACGTTCACAACACATGATAGGTAGCCCTGACTCTTTTTCCAACTCTGAAAGCCAGAAAGAATGCTCAGCATTTTCCATGGAAGGTCTCAAGACAATTCTATTTCCTGAAAGCACATGCTCAAGGAGAGAATGCTGCCAATGTTGTTCAAGAATAAAATACTCTTTGGTGCTGAGGTCAAGCCCACACACTGCAGGTGCTGCAGATACCCCACAACCCTCCGTAGCACGGATTAACTAAACAAAGGCACTAACACACCACCTTACCTTGTCCTCCTGCACAACAGGCACAAGAACACGCAAATCACTGACTCGGCAAGCCCATGCAGCTCTGAAGCAATCTTTCACTCCTTTTATGAGAGCCATGCAGTTCTAAACCACCCAAGAGACCTCCTTGTCACCAAGCCTCCTGTGTTAGTAGCCAAATAAAAGAGTTTCTGGTCTTCTGAAGTCTAGGGAAGCTGCCAGCTCGGTCCTGGAGGGATGAGGGGAGTAGCACAGCAGCAAGGACCTCTTCCAGAGTTCTCAGCTACTCCAAACCTGAAGCTTTTCTGAACAAAACTCTGCCATGCTAATGCCTAAAAGACATGGGCAGTACCAAGCAAGCAGATTTTATATCAAAATAAGTAACACTTTAGGAATGCAGTCTGCTTAGTCACTTCCATCTCGATACAAAGCAACTATAGTTATTAACTCATTCAAAGTTTCTGCATATCATGCTGAGGAATGGAGTTCCACCTCATCAGATACATGGCCGTGTAGAGCACAGCCCCTGGACACAGTAAATAGGATGCTAATCTTAATTACGTGGCAAAAGAAGGTTAAAGTCTGACCTCTACCATGGGTCCCAAGACTTTTGTACTGACAGGAAAGATATCTCTGGATCTTCCAACTTTCTGGTTTTTTTTCTGAAGTGATGAAATTCAACTTTTGGAAAGTAAGTTTTTACCCATGATAAAAGGTACCAACAAAAAAACCCACCCTACTTTAAACATGTAAGCCCTAAAGGCTTTTATACCGGAGGACAGAACCCACAATGTACTATTTTTAAAGCCATGGTTTTTTAACCTGACTCACAGTGTCTGAATGCTCAGGTTAGCACGCTGAAAGCAGCAGATGACTCAGACACTGCAGGGCAGCTCCATGCCCCAGGAATGCTGCAGCTTCACACAAGAGCTGAGACCCACGGTGGGGACAGAGAGGAAGTCAAACTCAAACATGAGTTATCCTGCAGCTGCTTCTTGGTGCAACCACCACCGCTTATTCCCCCCGTACCCAACATCCTCAGACATCCTCTCCACACGCCTTCCCTTCAAGGCAAACACAGCCCAAGAGCTGTGCTTTTTAGGACAGGGCACCCAAAATCTTTCAGGGTCTATTTCTTCACTCGCCACATCCTGTCCCTGCAGGAGTTTAACTTCTAAATGCTCACATAGTAAGCAATTTGCTTGATCCTGCCTGCAAGCCCCTGAAGGGACAACCAGCCCGAGTAGTGACTGAAAGACACATCACGCTCCTGGGGCCCCACCGGGCTCCTGGCCCTGGTCAGGACCCTTCCATTGCTCCAGCAAGTACCCACCTCGGGCCTTTCCCTCACCCTGGGGCCAAGGTCCCACACCTCCCCACTGGCAGACAGAGCCCTGGGAGCCCAGCACAGCAGCTTCTGCAGAAGCTTCTCACTTCCCAGTTCCACTCTCCCTTCCCACGCAGCAAGGTCACCGCTCGCTCATCCCTCCCTTCCGTAACTGATTGGGACAGCAGAAACCACCATCATCATTGCCCAGATGCATGTTTCCAGGGGCGATTTCTCCTGCAACCCCTCTTCTACTTTTCTTCTGTTATTAGGGCTGACGTAGGTCTCAGCTGTCAAGAGGAAGAGCTCCCACCACGACTAGGGCTCTACCAGTTGTGGTAGCCAGGTGCCCACTCGGACAGGCTGCATTCAGCCATGGAACAGAGGGGTCTGCACAGTGAGTTGGGGAAGGGGGCTCTGCACCAGCCTAGACCCCATGTCCTTGGGCAGCATGGCCAGGAAAGACCCCATGTACAGCACCACAGCCCACCAGTAAGTGATCTGCCCTGAGGAAGCTCCGTACGGAATCACAGAGGGGTTGAGGGGGGAAAACACCTCTGGGTGTCACCTTGTCCAACATCCCCACTCGGGCTGGGCCACCTATGGCAGGTTGCCCAGGTCCACGTCTGGATGGGTTTGGAGTATCTCCATGGAGGGAGAGTCCACCACCTCCCCGGGCAGCCAAGTGCTTGGTCACCCCCCGAAAGTGTTTCCCGCTGTCGAGGGGGACCCTCCCATGTGTCAGCGTGTGCCCGTCACCGTGAGTCCTGTCACCGGCCACCACTGGAAGAGCCTGGCGGGGCCCTCTCTGCACCCCCCTCCAGACGGTGAGACCCCCCCGAACCCCCTTTCTCCGGGCGGGACAGGGCCAGAGGCTGCGGGAGGACGGGGGCCGGTCCAAGGCGGCTGCTGGGTGTCCTCCAGCTCCCGGCCCGCCCACGGGGAAACGGCCCCGCCGCCGCTCCCCGCCTGCCCGGGACGGGGTGACGGGACCGGGCAGGACCGAGCTGCGGCCCCCCCGCGGGGCTGGCCCGTGACGGCGAGTAATGGGCCGCCGTCTGCCTGCGGCCGGGCTCGTCTCCTCACACACGGCGCCGCCTCACCGTAGCCCCAGGCCCTCAGT